AATACCGTAATATAGGCCAATACAGTACTGTAATACCGTAATATAGGCCAATACAGTACTGTAATACCGTAATATAGGCCAATACAGTACTGTAATACCGTAATATAGGCCAATACAGTACTGTAATACCGTAATATAGGCCAATACAGTACTGTAATACCGTAATATAGGCCAATACAGTACTGTAATACTGTAATATAGGCCAATACAGTACTGTAATACCATAATATAGGCCAATACAGTACTGTAATACCGTAATATAGGCCAATACAGTACTGTAATACCGTAATATAGGCCAATACAGTACTGTAATACCGTAATATTGGCCAATACAGTACTGTAATACCGTAATATAGAACAATACAGTACTGTAATACCGTAATATTGGCCAACACAGTACTGTAATACCGTAATATAGGCCAATACAGTACTGTAATACCGTAATATAGGCCAATACAGTACTGTAATACCGTAATATAGGCCAATACAGTACTGTAATACCGTAATATTGGCCATTTATGTAGCAGACACTTTTATCCAAACTAGTGACAACAGTGAGCGGACCATCCTCCTTCAGGTCGTGCAATGACATCAATCCAGACCAATGTCAGGCTTGGATTCGCCATGCCAAAAGGCTTTTCCCCAGGTGCATGAACAATGAAGATATTAGCTCAAGACAGGCTTGATGCAAACTAGTTTTTCTTTCATTTATTTGATTTTACAGTTGTTGTTTTTTTTTCAATCACTTTGGCACATTTTTCAGATACAAGTGATATATTTTCTAAACTCTAAGTACAAAACTCTAAACTGATAATGCCCCCTATCCTATGTTCAGAACATTCATTGGGGTTTCACACATCTTTCACCCCTGAGGCGTTCATGCAAAATCAACATTTTCTGTTAAATACCATGACAACATTTAGTTTAGTCACCAATACATCAGATAATGATAGGCTCAACATTTAGTCATTTTAACTACCATTTAATCCAATAGCAAAAAATACAAGATACACATTTCAACTGTCCCTCCAACATAAATTGATGTAAAATGTATTCATATATGAGGTAAAAATAAAGACATTTACAGTGTGGTCCTCTGTAGCTCAGCTGGTAGAGCACGGCGCTTGTAACGCCAGGGTAGTGGGTTCGATCCCCGGGACCACCCATACACAATGACTGTAAGTCTCTTTGGATAAAAGCGTCTGCTAAATGGCATATTATCAAATTACGGTAAATACATTAACTAGGCACTACGTAATTTCGGTTAAGTAGTTATCAGTTTTGAGCAGTTTGATTAAGTAACAGTTAATTGTATTGTTAACAAATGACAAGAAAATCATATCAAAAGTAAAGTGAATATCGCATTTTGAAAAGTAGATACTAAGATTGAAAATGTATCCAAATTGAAAAGAGTGATTTGGTGCAGGTGAACAAGTGATTTTGTGAATTTTGTTTGTTGTACTCAGTCAATCGAAAATGTGTTTTAAAGTTTTGAAACGTGAGTCATGTTGATGTTCTGTTTCGGTTTTTGAGTTCTAAAATGTTTACCACATACATGTAATATTGCACCAAAGTCATTGAAAAAAAAAAAAAACTATTACAGTACACCTATGTTGTAATTATATCTGAATAATACATAATTTTTTTCCCCATCAATGATTGTGAAAGATGTCTTCAATGATCACACCTTTGATCACATGGGATAGAAATGATGGAAATGTCATGTTCAGTCTATTTTAATGGGTAGTGGAAGTTTATTGCCTGATCTGAAAACAGTGTAATGTACTGTCATTTACAGTACTGTAGCATACTACTATATTCAAAGGACAATTTTGATAGATGTATCTTGCATTTTTTGCTATTTGATTAACTGGTTGTTAAAATAACTAAATTGAGAAGATATCATTGTGTTGTGTTTTGCTCTCATAATATTTCATAGTAAACTTACAAGCGTAACCAGTTTGGAGTTATGTTTTAAGAGTTTTTAAACATACAGTGTACTTGTGAAAATAGCACCAAAGTGAAAAAACTGTATTTACTCTCCTGTTCGGGGTTCCCTCCCAGTCTTGCAAATATCTCTGAGATGTTCCCACTGTTCCAGGTTTGTAACTGTGACACAAGCAGGATGTTTGTTGTATGTGGTAATCAGGCAGAACCAGATGAGCGTGTCTCTAAATATTGCATACAGGATTACAAGACTGGCACATGTTGTGTAATGTATATGTACACTACCAGTCAAAAGTTTGGACACACCTACTCATTCAATGGTTTTTCTTTATTTGTAAAATGTTTTACATTGTAGAATAATAGTCAAGACATCAAAACTATAAAATAACACATATGAAATCATGTAGTAACCAAAAAAGTGTTCAACAAATCAAAATATATTGTATATTTGAGAATCTTCAAATAGCCACACTTTGCCTTGATGACAGCTTTGCACACTCTTGGCATTGAAATACATCCACAGGTACACCTCCAATTGACTCAAATGATGTCAATTAGCCTATCAGAAGCTTCTAAAGCCACAACATCATTTTCTGGAATTTTCCAAGCTGTTTAAAGGCACAGTCAACTTAATGTATTTAAACTTCTGACCCACTGGAATTGTGGTACAGTGAATTATAAGTGACATAATCTCTGTCTGTAAACAATTGTTGGAAAAATTACTTGTGTCATGCACAAAGTAGATGTCCTAACCGACTTGCCAAAACTATAGTTTGTTAACAAGAAATGTGTGGAGTGGTTGAAAAACTAGTTTTCATGACTCCAACCTAAGTGTATGTAAACCTCCGACTTCAACTGTATATGTGTGTGTGTGTGTGTGTGTGTGTGTGTGTGTGTGTGTGTGTATTCCAGGTGACTGTTGGCTGCTGGCTGCTATAGCATCACTGACTCTGGACGAGGAAGTGCTGGCTAGGGTCGTTCCTCCTGAACAGAGCTTCACTGACCGCTACGCTGGCATCTTTCACTTCCAGGTCAGGGGTCAGGGGGTTTTAACGTGTAGTTATTCCCAATCCTCAACACACTCCATTCATTGACATTTACACAACACTCTTATACAGGGCAACTTACAGTCAGTGCATTCAACTTAAGGTAGATAAAACAACCACCTACAGTATGTCAGTCATTCTTAGTGTGAGTATGCAAGAAAGACAAGTTCAAGTCAGGTGTCCCCCCCCCCCAAACATCCCTAGAGAATTTTCCCTTTAGTTTCTGTCGTAGGGGCTTATTTTACGGGCAACGCCTGCTTTACAGCTGTGGAAATCAGATAATTTATAGGTTTATAATATATAATAATAATACAATATAATATGCCATTTAGCAGACGCTTTTATCCAAAGCGACTTACAGTCATGCATGCATACATTTTTGTGTATGGGTGGTCCCGGGGATCGAACCCACTACCTTGGCGTTACAAGCGCCATGCTCTACCAGCTGAGCTACAGAGGACCACAGAGATGGTTGTAGAGATGGTTGTAGCACGTATCACCATGTTCTGCCATGTGATTCATTCTAATTCCGTGAAATGTTGACACATTCTATGGAATGTTTTCTGTTGTGGTCCTCTTCAGTTCTGGCAGTTTGGTGAGTGGGTGGACGTGGTGATTGATGACCGGCTGCCCACCAGAGACGGAAAGCTGCTGTTTGTTCACTCAGCCGAGGGCAATGAGTTCTGGAGCGCCCTGCTGGAGAAGGCCTACGCCAAGTAAGATACAGCACCATAATACATACATGGTTTATGCTAAGATACAGCACCATAATACATACATGGTTTATGCTAAGATACAGCACCATAATACATGGTTTATGCTAAGATACAGCACCATAATACATACATGGTTTATGCTACGATACAGCACCATAATACATACATGGTTTATGCTAAGTAAGAGAGATTACTACAACATATTGTGCAGTATATTCAGTGAGGGAAAAAAGTATTTCATCCCCTGCTGATTTTGTACGTTTGCCCACTGACAAAGACATGATCAGTCTATAATTTTAATGGTAGGTTTATTTGAACAGTGAGAGACAGAATAACAACAAAAAAATCCAGAAAAATGCATGTCAAAAAATTTATAAATTGATTTGCATTTTAATGAGGGAAATAAGTATTTGAACCCCTCTCAATCAGAAAGATTTCTGGCTCCCAGGTGTCTTTTATACAGGTAACGAGCTGAGATTAGGAGCACACTCTTAAAGGGAGTGCTCCTAATCTCAGTTTATTACCTGTATAAAACACACCTGTCCACAGAAGCAATCAATCAATCAGATTCCAAACTCTCCACCATGGCCAAGACCCAAGGATGTCAGGGACAAGATTGTAGACCTACACAAGGCTGGAATGAGCTACAAGACCTTACAATACATTATTTACCATTCATTTCTATTGGGAACAAAATAATCTGAAACACAACCAAAACAAACAGCAAATGCATCAAACAACTTTGTAGAGTCACAAGCTTGATGTAGTCATTGTGTGCTAGGAATATGGGACCAACTACTAAACTTTTGACTACTTTAATACACATAAGTACATTTGTTCAAATACTTTTGGTCCCCTGAAATGTGGGGACTATGTACAAAATGTGCTATAATTTCTAAACAGTTCCCCCTTGATATGGATGAAAATACCCTCAAATTAAAGCTGACGGTCTGCACTTTAACCATTCATCATTTCAAATCCAAAGTGCTGGAGTACAGAGCCAAAACAACAACAAAATTGTTACTGTCCCAATACTTTTGGAGCTCACTGTATGTCACTGCATATATTGTATGCCATTTTTTTCTTCTAATGGTCTGCCTGTCTGTCAGCCTGTTTATCTCTCTCTCTCTCTCTCTCTCGCTCTCTCTCTCTCTCGCTCTCGCTCTCTCGCTCTCGCTCTCTCTGTCTCTCTCTTTCTGTCCCTCTCTCTTGCTTTCTCTCTCTCTATCTCTCAGGGTGAATGGATGCTATGAGGCTCTGTCAGGTGGCTCCACCACTGAAGGGTTTGAGGACTTCACAGGAGGGATAGCAGAGACCTACCAGTTGGACAAAGCTCCTCCTCACCTCTTCAAGATCATGGAGAAGGCACTGGGGCTGGGCTCACTACTGGGCTGTTCCATCGACGTAGGTTGGATTTAGATACTAAATCCACTACTGGGCTGTTCCATCGACGTAGGTTGGATTTAGATACTAAATCCACTACTGGGCTGTTCCATTGACGTAGGTTGGATTTAGATACTAAATCCACTACTGGGCTGTTCTATTGACGTAGGTTGGATTTAGATACTAAATCCACTACTGGGCTGTTCCATCGACGTAGGTTGGATTTAGATATTTACATTGATTGATTGTTTGATTGATTTAGATACTAACATCGCATTGTTTATTTTCAGATCACCAGTTCCTATGAGACAGAGGCAGTGACAGATCTTAAACTGGTGAAGGGACATGCATACTCTGTCACTGGTGTTGAAGAGGTAAAGTGCCTACACATCGTAGTGGTTATACATACCAGGTTCATCTGTCTCTCTGATGGGCACCAACCCCAGGTTCATCTGTCTTTCTGATGGGCACCAACCCCAGGTTCATCTGTCTCTCTGATGGGCACCAACCCCAGGTTCATCTGTCTTTCTGATGGGCACCAACCCCAGGTTCATCTGTCTTTCTGATGGGCACCAACCTCAGGTTCATCTGTCTTTCTGATGGGCACCAACCCCAGGTTCATCTGTCTTTCTGATGGGCACAAACCCCAGGTTCATCTGTCTTTCTGATGGGCACCAACCCCAGGTTCATCTGTCTTTCTGATGGGCACCAACCCCAGGTTCATCTGTCTTTCTGATGGGCACCAACCCCAGGTTCATCTGTCTTTCTGATGGGCACCAACCCCAGGTTCATCTGCCTTTCTGATGGGCACCAACGCCAGGTTCATCTGTCTTTCTGATGGGCACAAACCCCAGGTTCATCTGTCTCTCTGATGGGCACTAACCCCAGGTTCATCTGTCTCTCTGATGGGCACTAACCACAGGTTCATCTGTCTTTCTGATGGCCACCAACCCCAGGTTCATCTGTCTCTCTGATGGGCACTAACCCCAGTGTCCCTTTACTATGGGGAGTCTATGGGGGAGTCAACTACACATCACATTCACAGAAAACTGAAATCACGCCCAACAGGCCAATGGATGCCGAGCCCATTCACAGAAAACTGAAATCACGCCCAACAGGCCAATGGATGCCGAGCCCACCCTCAGAATCCCCGCCTTCCTGGCTATAATACAGGGGCATGCATTCATTTCCTAAATTCTTCGCTCAGCTCGCCTGAAGGAAGAACGTGTCACGCAATTTACAAACTTTTCAAGCACACGAAGACTACAAGATTCGGCTCCGACTTAGGTGTCTGTTAGTGGGGAGAGAGTACTCGTACCCCTAGATGTTGCGAGTTTTGAGTCCTGGTATTTGTTTTTGTTTTATCTAAAAGCTAACTACTTTCTGCAACGCTTGTGTAGCTAATGCTTACCTGCTTGAGTAAGATGGCTAGTGGTAAGAGTAATTTCAAAAAGGTATGAGTCCCGTCCTGTTTGCCTGGGGTGGAAATACGCTCATGTGGCTTTGGCTCGGACCAGTTCGTGTCACCATTGTGTCTGGCTGGGTTGAACTTCCATTAGGCTTTGGGTTGACTTTGTGAGTAAGATTGGATCTTCTTAGCGAAGGGTTTTTCCGGTGAAGTGACCTCGGGAATGGGGTTGTCTGAGGCCGGGATAGAACAGCAGTGGTGGTCAAAGTTGATATGGGTGTCATTCAAGCTGAGTGAGGCTCATTCCGGTTTCTCTGGCAGTGTTCAGAGTATCAGAATGGCAGTACCATGAAAGCACATTGTTTCTACCCAAGGTTCTTTGGTGTTCAGGGTTATCGAGAGTGCGGTATCGTCCAGGTGTGGGCATAATAAACATACTTCCTTCTCCACATTCAGACACACGGTTGTGCCTAAAGGGCGTTGACTCCTTGGAGGGACCCGTGACTGTTGTTGCAGGGGGTTCTCATGGGCTGGGTAGTTCCCGGAGGGCTGGGGAGAGCTGTGTGTGGGCTACTCGAAATGAGGGATTTGGTCAACAGCGCAAAGGGTGCTGCATATCAATTAACCTATAGCTACTGACTGTTTTGCTGCCGCTGAGGTGCTTCCCTCCGATGCAGGAGGGACAGTATGTGTTGGTATGGTCTGATAACAGGACGGCAGTGGCTACATCAACAGGCAGGGAGGGACGCAGTCTCTCTCTCTCTCTCTCTCTCCTAAATCTGTCCCGTTATCTGCTCGGATGCTTTGGCGTATCAGTTGCCTCAGACATGATATGCATTTCCCCCGTTGGACCTGATTGAGGCCACCATGGAGAGGGTCCATCAACTGTTGTTGATTCTGGTTCTGGTGGCTCCCCGTTGGCCCAGATAACCCTGGTCACAGATATGGGATCTATGGTTTTGGGCCCTGAATGGTTGAATTTGACGACTGGAGGTTTACCCTCGAATGTGATTACGACAGTAGTTATATTCATAACTGTATGTTCATCTACCTTTCTGATTGGCCTAACCCCAGGTTCATCTACCTTTCTGATGGGCACCAACCCCAGGTTCATCTGCCTTCTGATGGGCACCAACCCCAGGTTCATCTGTCTTTCTGATGGGCACCAACCCCAGGTTCATCTGTCTTTCTGATGGGCACCAACCCCAGGTTCATCTACCTTTCTGATGGGCACCAACCCCAGGTTCATCTGTCTTTCTGATGGGCACCAACCCCAGGTTCATCTGTCTTTCTGATGGGCACCAACCCCAGGTTCATCTGTCTTTCTGATGGGCACCAACCCCAGGTTCATCTGTCTTTCTGATGGGCACCAACCCCAGGTTCATCTGTCTTTCTGATGGGCACCAACCCCAGGTTCATCTACCTTTCTGATGGGCACCAACCCCAGGTTCATCTGTCTTTCTGATGGGCACCAACCCCAGGTTCATCTGTCTTTCTGATGGTCCTAACCCCAGGTTCATCTGTCTCTCTGATGGTCCTAACACCAGGTTCATCTGTCTCTCTGAGGGGCACTTCTACCTTTTCTGTCTTCCCTTGACAGTCCCACCCTTTCAATAAAACCACAAAAATATTGGGAAAAACACAGTACTGAGTGTGTTTAATAAGATTCACAGGCCTAAGTGAGTCCTGTCCTCTGTCCAGGTCCATCTCCACGGAGACCCGGTCCAGCTGATTCGCATCAGGAACCCCTGGGGACAGGTGGAGTGGACTGGGCCCTGGAGTGATAGGTGAGGGAATGATGGTGACTTCCATACAGATAGACTTCAAGCCCAACAAGCTCTACAGCCTGGCCCCAGATCTGTTTCTGCTGTCTTGCCAACTTCTATGGTCATTGTCACCAAAGGAGTTGGCAAGACAGCACAAACAGGTCTGGGAACAGGCTACTACATGCCCACTGTGTCTACAAGGAAGACCAACACCAAACAATACTGAGAGTGGAATAGCTCTCTGTATACTGCATAGACCATGATCACCTGTGCAGACCACTATTTACATTGACTGCTGTATTCCCTTTATCAGCTCCAGTGAATGGAAATATGTCCATCCCGATGAGAAACTGAAGCTGGATAATGTTGCTGAGGATGGGGAGTTCTGGTAAGTCGGCCCCCTGCCCCTTGTGCATAACCTGGGGATGGTACTGTGTAATTAAGAGTTAGTCCTTCTCATAAGTTATGACACATTTTATTGCGCTTAATGAAGGAGTTTGGCATGAAGGCGTTATGAGTTTGGTGGTTTTCAAAAAAAGTCTTACCAGATGTTTCTACATCTACGTCTGTGACCCCCTGGTCTGTCTTTGTGCCAAGGATGTACAAGATATTTATTTAATTTGTTTGGAAGTGTCTGACACCCTGTTCTACATACCGCCACTTTATGGGCAAGATGCACAATAGCGTTATAAATTCAGTCCATTTGTTGTCTACGGGTGTGTAGCTCAGTTGGTAGAGCATGGCGTTTGCAATGGCAGGGTTGTGGGTTTGATTCCCATGGGGGGCCAGTATGATTTTTTTTATTTATAATAATAATGTATGCACTCACTAACTGTAAGTTGCTCTGGATAAGAGCGTCTGCTAAATGACTTAAATGTAAATTTGTTCTGTACTGTATTTTTAACTCTCCTGTGTGGGGTTCCCTCCCAGTATTGTCAATATTGCTGAGATGTTTGACGAAAAAGAAATAGCAGGAGCGCTTCAGAATTGTTCTCATCTATTTTTATCTCTCTGGCAGGCAAACACACCCTTTAAACGCCTTAGAGTAAAAAATTGAACAAATCCTTGGTTCTCTATAGAACTTTTAGATATTTCTATGATGAGAAATCAGGCCTGGGCCAAGCCTATAAATACTGACTCTATAGCTGATTGGCAGATTTTTCAGTCAATTGAGAAATAGATTTCGCTTCCTCAATCAAGAAAACGAAATCTAGCTACTTTCTATGTTCTGTCTCATACTCTGCTGGTGATCCGTCTAGATTTTGTAAAGCAGTTAATGCACTGAAGCGTGGAAATTCCTCTCCTTCTCTGCATAAGCAAGTTGTGTCAGACTCTGGCATGCTTACTGAAAAATATGAGATAAGTGATGCTCTTAATCAGCATTTGATCTCAGCAGGCTTTTTATTTGAAAAAAAAAATGGTGGTTTAATTGACCCTGGTCAGCCAGTCAACTGCCTGCCCCTCTCCCAGACTCTAGATGGTTCGATGGAAGGTCTGTCAACTTCTAGTGAGTCTTTGTTTTCATTTCAACAACTTTCTACTTGTTATCTCCTAGATGCACAAGATTGATGTAAAGAAATCCACCGGGGCTGAAATGCTTGATCCTTTCTTGCTGCAGCATTTTTTAACACATATTTTTAACCTAATAATTATTTCTGGTACCATTCCCAGGGTCTGGAAGGAGGCCCATATACTCCCCCTTCACAAAGGTGGTGGCCCGTGTAATTATCGCCCCATTTCCAAACTCTCTTGCCTAGCAAACGTTTGAAAAACCTTTTTAAATACTCAACTTAGATCCCTTTCAACTTAAAAATGTATACTAAATCTTCACCGGTTAAGTTGTAGAGTAGGTCATAGCACTATTTCTGCTACTTCTTTGGTTTTAAACGATGTTCTTAATAGTTTGGATAAGAAGAAACACTGTCTAAAGCCTTAGACACTGTGGATCACTCAATAATTATACAGAGGCTTTTTATAAATTGGCCTGGACCAGGCTGCGTGTAGCTGGTTTGAAAATCATTTAAAGAACATTTTAGTCATTTAGCTCTTATCCAAAGTGACTTACAGGAGCAATTAGGGTTAAGTGCCTTGCTCAAGGGCACATCGGCAGATTTTTCACCTAGTCGGCTCGGGGATTAGAACCAGCAACTTTTCGGTTACTGGCACAACGCTCTTAACCACTAAGCTACCTGCCGCCCCAGAACACAGTGTGTATTTACTAATGGTGTTAAATTAGGTTTTATGGACACAACAAAGGATGGTCCTGTTATTTTCACTATTTACACTAACAATATTGGTTAATCTGTAAAAATGTTTTATAAAAAATTAACCTGTATGCAGATGACACTATCGTGCATGCTATTGCTCCCACATCTGACCAGGCTCAGTCAGGGCTTCAATCTGCCTTTATTGCCCTGCAGAAAGCATTTGTTGAACTGAAATCGGTACTTAATGCAGGTAAAACCAAGTATATGTTATTTTCCAAATCACGTAAAATAATGTAGCTGATGATTTATGTATACGTACTTTGGTTGGTGCCCTCATTGATCGTGTCCCTGCTTAAAAATATCTGGTCATCTGGATTGATGAAAAGCTATCTTTTCAAAAAGCATGTTGATGAGTTAGTTAAGAAATTAAGAATTAAAATGGGCTTCTTCTATAGGAACAGGTCCTGTCTTTTGTTAAATAGCAGAAAACAAATAATTCAGTCAACATTTCATTCTGGATATGGACTATGGCGACGCAGTTCATCGTAGCGCGATTTCTTACCGGCGAAAGGTTCAGCATTTTGTATCAGAAAGTAGGTTGGCCCCTTTTTGAAGTCTCGTAGATCGATGCATTGCGCTCTTTTTTGTCTATAAAGCCCTCTTGCATAAACTTCCGCCATACCTTACCTCATTGTTATCCTTCAGACGTATAAGTTCCCAGACCCGGACTCAGGGATGGCTAACCCTGGAGATCCCTTCAAACTCCACCAAGTTAAGTAAATCTGCTTTTAGTTTTTTTTGGCGCATCTCCCGTGGAATGATCTCCAAAACTCCTTTAAAGCTGGTGGAGTTGGTGCCTCTAGGGCAGTTCAGACGGGATGTTAGAAGGCCTTCTTACTGAACAATGTGTTTGTTTCATATGATTGTGTTTTGTTTTTCCATGTTTTGTGTTTGCTTTTCATGTATTGTGTTATTGATGTGTACATACAGTGCATTTGGAAAGTATTCAGACCCCTTGACTTTTTTCCACATTTTGTTATGTTACAGCCTTATTCTAAAATGGATTACATTATTTTTTTCCCTCTCATCAATCTACACACAATAAACCATAATGACAAACCAAAAACAGGTTTTTAGATTTGTTTGCAAATTTATAAAAAATAAAACACAGAAAATATCACATTTACATAAGTATTCAGACCATTTACTCAATATTTTGTTGAAGCACCTTTGGCAGTGATTACAGCCTCGAGTCTTCTTGGGTATGATGCTATAAGCACTCCTCCGGACTCTGGCTGGGCCACTCAAGGACATTCAGACTTGTCCCGAAGCCACTCCTGCGTTGTCTTGGCTGTGTGCTTAGGGTCGTTGTCCTGTTGGAAGGTGAACCTTCGCCCCAGTCTGAGGTCCTGAGCGCTCTGGAGCAGGTTTTCATCAAGGATCTCTCTGTACTTTGCTCTGTTCATCTTTGCCTCGATCCTGACTAGTCTACCAGTCCCTGCCGCTGAAATACATCCCCAGAGCATGATGCTGCCACCACCATGCTTCACCGTAGGGATGGTGCCAGGTTTCCTCCAGACGTGATGCTTGGCATTCAGGCCAAAGTTCAATCTTGGTTTCATCAGACCAGAGAATCTTATTTCTCATGGTCTGAGAGTCTTTAGGTGCCTTTTGGCAAACTCCAAGTGGGCTGTCATGTGCCTTTTACTGAGGAGTGGCTTCCGTCTGGCCACTCTACCATAAAGGCCTGATTGGTGGAATGCTGCAGAGATGGTTGTCCTTCTGGAATGTTCTCTCATCTCCACAGAGGAACTCTAGAGCTCTGTCAGAGTCACCATCGGGTTCTTGGTCACCTCCCTGACCAAGGCCTTTCTCCTCCGATTGCTCAGTTTGGCCGGGAGGCCAGCTCTAGGAAGAGTCTTGGCGGTTCCAAACATCTTCCATTTTAAGAATGATGGAGGCCACTGTGTTCTTCGGGACCTTCAATGCTGCAGACATTTTTTGGTACCCTTCCCCAGATCTGTGCCTCGACACAATCCTGTCTCGGAGCTCTATGGACAATTCCTTCGACCTCATGGTTTGGTTTTTGCTATGACATGCACTGTCAACTGTGGGACCTTATATAGACAGGTGTGTGCCTTTCCAAATCATGTCCAATCAATTGAATTCACCACAGGTGGACTCCAATCAAGTTGTAGAAACATCTCAAGGATGATCAATGGAAACAGGATGCACCTTAGCTCAATTTCGAGTCTCATAGCAAAAAGTCAAGGAGTCTGAATACTTTCAGAATAGTGTACTAGTTGTTTATCGATGTGTTCATGCAGGGCTCATCTGCAAAAGATACCGGGGTCTCAGCATGACTCCCTGCTTAAATGTACATTTACATTTTAGCAGTGGTGGAAAAAGTATTCAATTGACATACTTGAGTAAAAGTAAAGATACCTTAATAGAAAATGACTGAAGTAAAAGTGAAAGTCACCCAGTAAAATACTACCTGAGTAAAAGTCTAATTTTGGTAGTATTTGGTTTTAAATATATTTAAGTATCAAAAGTAAATGGAATTGCTAAAATGTACTTAAGTATCAAAAGTAAATGGAATTGCTAAAATGTACTTAAGTATCAAAAGTAAATGGAATTGCTAAAATGTACTTAAGTATCAAAAGTAAATGGAATTGCTAAAATGTACTTAAGTATCAAAAGTAAATGGAACTGCTAAAATGTACTTAAGTATCAAAAGTAAATGGAACTGCTAAAATGTACTTAAGTATCAAAAGTAAATGGAATTGCTAAAATGTACTTAAGTATCAAAAGTAAATGGAATTGCTAAAATGTACTTAAGTATCAAAAGTAAAAGTAAAAGTATAAATCATTTCAAATTCCTTATATTAAGCCAGACGGCACCATTTTGTATTTTATTGTTATTGAAGGATAGCCAGGGGCACACTCCAACACTCAGACATCATTTTCAAACGAAGCATTTGTGTTTAATTAGTCTGCCAGATCAGATGCAGAAGGGATGACCAGGGCTGTTATCTTGATACGTATGTGAATTGGACCATTTTCCTGTCAAAATGTAACAAGTACTTTTGGGTGTCAGGGAGAATGTATGGAGTAAAAAGTACATTATTTTCTTTAGGAATGTGGTGAAGTAAAAGTAAAAGATGGACAAAAATACTACTACTTAAGTAGTATTTTAAAGTATTTTTACTTAAGTACTTTACACCACTGCATTTTAGTCATTTAGCTAGCTTTAGCTTTAGCGTACATTTTCCGCACTTTTTCGTACTAGTCCCCCGTGGTAATCGAACCCACAACCCAGGCGTTCCTAGCACCATGCTCTATCAACTGAGCCACGTAAAATATTCAAACATTTAAAACAACCACAGGTTCTCCTGTAGGGGAATAGTACTACTGCTGGACCCTTTTAATTTGAGTCAGTTACTACAGCAGGAAAATAATCCTGCAGCAACAGGAAATGGGAATTATAATAATAGTGGTGTAGGGGTTGATACATTCTTCAAATCAAGTCTGAAATTTTAAAGTGGAAATTACAAACTTTAGAAGCCTTTTTGAACCTAGAAATTACTATGAGTTTGCATTTCCTGCCTTGCAGGAACATTCCTGCATCAACAGGACGATCAAATTAAGATACGGCATTTGTAGAAAAGGAAAAGGGGAAAAATTATAACCACAAATGGGTGCCAAGTGGCATTTAAAAAGCCTTTATTTTGTGGGCTAAGTCATTATTATTAAAATACACCAACGCGTATCGGCTAACACCTTCATCAAGGTGTTCGGCTGATGCTGATGCTTCCACTAGAGTCTCCAGGATGTACTACTGTAAGGCAGTTCTTAGCTTGGCATCCAAAATTATTTCACCTGTTGTTTTGAAGTGAAACCGTGGTCTGCACCGTGTTCACTCTGGTTCATCCAGGCTATGCTCTGTCTCTCTGTCTCCAGGATGTCCTATTCAGACTTTGTGCGTCAGTTCTCCAAGCTGGAGATCTGTAACCTGACTCCGGACACACTGACCAGTGATGAGGTGGGTCACTGGAACCACTGCCAGTACAAAGGCACATGGAGGGTTGGGTCTACCGCTGGAGGCTGCAGGAACCATGCAGGTAAATCCCCACAAACAGTCTGAATAGTTTAATAATAATAATATGCCATTTAGCAGACGCTTTTATCCAAAGCGACTTATAGTCATGCGTGCATACATTTTTTTGTGTATGGGTGGTCCCGGGGATCGAACCCACTACCTTGGCGTTACAAGCGCGGTGCTCTACCAGCTGAGCTACAGAGGACCACAGTTTTTTTTTTACAACCAAATCTGTATTTTGTATGTAATTTAAATGGCATGTTATAAAAGTGTCCAGAGATTATTTTTGTTGTTGTTGTTGCAATTTCACTTGTTTTTTTTAGAAACTTGCCCCAACCAGCGATAGACTTCCTTATGCTTGTTCTGCAGTATGAGGGCTCAAAAGAAACATGTTTTTTTTTTTTTTTGGTTTTTTTTTTTAAACACCTAAGTACATCCTTTTAGAAATGGTCTCAGTATAGTGATGCAGGTCTTTGTGTCATTCCAAACTTTATTGGCAATGTTATATTCCATTTTGTTTACATTTACAGTTTAGTCATTTTGCAGACACTCTTCTTCAAAGCGACTTACACATAATAATATATTTACAGGAACAATTAGGGTTAAGTACCTTGCTCAAGGGCACATCGTCAGATTTTTCACCTAATCGGCTCATGGAATCGAAACTAGCAACTTTTCGGGTTACAACGCTCTTAACCGCTAGGCGAGTCGAGCGATATTTCTCTGTCCATTCTCTAGGCTACATGGAGAATGGCACAGCTGGTCCGGGGAAAACAGCCTGAGTTATACAAAATTGAATATAACGTTGCGCATAAAGTTCAGAATGACACAATTTCATGTGAACAACATCTAAAGACCGGCATCACTATACTCAGAGTGTTTCTGTTTCTAAAAGGATGCACCCTGAACAAAAATATAAACGCAACATGTAAAGTGTTAGTCCCATGATATTTTCCATACTCACAAAACGCTTAGTTTCTCTCAAATTTGGTGCACAAATTTGTTTACATCCCTGTTGGTGAGCATTTCTCCTTTGCCAAGATAATCCATCCACCTGACAGGTGTGGCATATCAAGAAGCTGATTAAACAGCATGATCATTACACAGGTGCACCTTGTGCTGGGGACAATAAAAGGCCACTGTAAAATGTGCAGTTTTGTCACACAACACAATGCCACAAATCTTGAGGGAGCGTGCAATTGGCATGCTGACTGCAGAGGTGTCCACCAGAACTGTTACCAGCTGTTAATGTTCATATCTCTACCATAATCCCCCTCTATCGTCATTTTTGAGAATTTGGCAGTATGACCAACCGGCCTCACAACCGCAGACCACGTGTATGGCATCGTGTGGGCGAGCGGTTTGCTGATGTCAACGTTGTGAACAGAGTGCCCCATGGTGGTGGGGTTATGGTGTGGGCAGGCATGAGCTACGGACAACGAACACAATTGCATTTTATCCATGGCAATTTGAATGCACAGAGATACCGTGACGAGATCCTGAGGCCCATTGTCGTGCCATTCATCCTCCGCCATAACCTCATGATTCAGCATGATAATGCACGGCCCCATGTCGCAAAGGATCTGTACACAATTCCTGGAAGCTGAACATGTCCCAGTTCTTCCATGGCCTGCATACTCACCAGAAATGTCACCCATTGAGCATGTTTGGGATGCTCTGGATCGACGTGTACAACAGCGTGTTCCAGTTCCCGCTAGTATCCAGCAACTTCGCACAGCCATTGAGGAGGAGTGGGACAACATTCCACAAGTGAAAATCAACAGCCTGAGCAACTCTAGACGAAGGAGATGTGTCGCACTGCATGAGGCAAATGGCGGTCCACCAGATACTGACTACTTGTTTTTTAAAGGTATCTGTGACCAACAGATGCATGTCTGTATTCCCTGTCGTGAAATCCAGAGATTATGGTCTAATGAATTTATTTCAAATGACTGATTTCCTTATATGAACTGTAACTCAGTAAAATCTTTTCAATTGTTGCGTTTATATTTTTGTTCAGTATATTTGGGTGTTTTTGGAGACTTTGTTCATGTTTATTTCTGAGCCCCCCATACTGCAGAATGAGCATGGGGAAGTCTATCGCTGGTTGGGTTACATTTCGATGTATCCTAGATGCCATTTCCTCTCGTTTTGCCCTTGAGCAAGGCACTAAAACCCCTAAACTACTTCGGGGCACTGATTTCCCTCTGTGTGGTTTCCTTCCAGCAACGTTCTGCTCCAACCCCCAGTTCCTGGTGTGTCTGGAGGATGTGGACGATGACCCTCTGGATGGGGTGGACGGCTGCACTTTCCTGGTGGGCCTGATGCAGAAAGATGGACGTCGCAACCGCCAGTTGGGAGAAGACCTCACCGCCATCGGGTTTGCCATCTACAAGGCATGCATAGTCACTTTCCCCTTATCTACATGTACAAATTACCTCGACTAACCCCCCCCCCCCCCCCCCCCCCCCCACATTGACTCAGTACTGGTACCCCCTGCATATAGCCTCAGGATTGTTATTTTATTGTGTTACTTTTTTGGGGGGGTTATTCTTTTTTAAACTTGAGTTTATTTATAAATTATTTTCTTAACTCTATTTTTCTTAAAACTGCATTGTTGGTTAAGGGCTTGTAAGTACGCATTTCACTGTAAGGTCTACACCTGTTGTATTCGTCGCGTGTGACAAATAAAATGTGATTGGATTTGATTACACCAATATTACTTTAAATAGGCCCATTGCTCCTGATGAAGCATAGACCATCAATCAACCACTCTGCTCCATCATACACTGTTCTGGGCAGTTAATGTAATTCAGTGTTAATATAATTCAATGTTAATATAATTCAATAGGATTCATATAAAATGAATTCCAACTCTTGTTCTTGCTTTTCTCTTACAGGTTCCTGATGAGGTTTGTATTCATCAATCAATTCAAGCGAATGGAGCAAATAGATGAATCCAGTTCTGTCTGTAATGAGGCTGCCTGCTCTGTGCATTATACGATATCCTATTTCTTTATCACTCATGGTTGGTACACGTACACATTCTGATTTTCTTATCTGAATCTTTTTTTTTTTTTTTTTTTGATATATTTTCACATCAACTGCACCATGATGAATGGTTTTCTGAGGACATTGATCTCTCTCCCACTTCCCTCCACTTCCTCAGTATAAGGGTCAGTCTAACATCCACCTGGGAGCAGACGTGCTGCTGAGACAGAAACACGTAGCCATGAGCAGCACCTTCATTAACACCAGAGAGGTCGGCTTCGCTTTTCATCGCCACCATTTTATCATTTTTACTGTAAAAAGCGTGTTACAATTTTAATTACGCTTTAAAGAAAGAATGCTTTGATTTGAAGGAGCTTGCTCCAAAAACACGTCAACAATAAATATAATTGAAGGGAGCCAGGCTGTTATCCTGAAACCTTACTTTTTCATTGAATGGAACTAGCCTGTTATCCTGAAACCTTACTCTACAATTGAACTTTAATTCAAGTTTGATTTGATTTGTTTTTTTGTATTTAGGTGTGTGACCGTTTCTGCCTTCCCCCCGGGAAGTATGTCATCATCCCTTCCACCTTCCAGCCTCACAAGAATGGGAGCTTCATCCTCAGAGTGTTCTCAGAGAAACATGTTGCCACCAGGTACGTTTGTTCACCTTTAACCACACACTATGATCCTGTCTAGAAACATCTCCTAGTCCTTAACCCCCTGGACACTATGATCCTGTCTAGAAACATCTCCTAGTCCTTAACCCCCTGGACACTATGATCCTGTCTAGAAACATCTCCTAGTCCTTAACCCCCTGGACACTATGGTCCTGTCTAGAAACATCTCCTAGTCCTTAACCCCCTGGACACTATGGTCCTGTCTAGTAACATCTCCTAGTCCTTAACCCCCTGGACACTATGGTCCTGTCTAGAAACATCTCCTAGTCCTTAACCCCCTGGACACTATGGTCCTGTCTAGAAACAACTCCTAGTCCTTAACCCCCTGGACACTATGGTCCTGTCTAGAAACATCTCCTAGTCCTTAACCCCCTGGACACTATGGTCCTGTCTAGAAACAACTCCTAGTCCTTAACCCCCTGGACACTATGGTCCTGTCTAGAAACATCTCCTAGTCCTTAACCCCCTGGACACTATGGTCCTGTCTAGAAACATCTCCTAGTCCTTAACCCCCTGGACACTATGGTCCTGTCTAGAAACATCTCCTAGTCCTTAACCCCCTGGACACTATGGTCCTGTCTAGAAACATCTCCTAGTCCTTAACCCCCTGGACACTATGGTCCTGTCTAGAAACATCTCCTAGTCCTTAACCCCCTGGACACTATGGTCCTGTCTAGAAACATCTCCTAGTCCTTAACCCCCTGGACACTATGGTCCTGTCTAGAAACATCTCCTAGTCCTTAACCCCCTGGACACTATGGTCCTGTCTAGAAACATATCCTAGTCCTTAACCCCCTGGACACTATGGTCCTGTCTAGTAACAACTCCTAGTCCTTAACCCCCTGGACACTATGGTCCTGTCTAGAAACATATCCTAGTCCTTAACCCTCTGGACACTATGGTCCTGTCTAGAAACATCTTCTAGTCCTTAACCCCCTGGACACTATGGTCCTGTCTAGAAACAACTCCTAGTCCTTAACCCCCTGGACACTATGGTCCTGTCTAGAAACATCTCCTAGTCCTTAACCCCCTGGACACTATGGTCCTGTCTAGAAACATCTCCTAGTCCTTAACCCCCTACACACTATGGTCCTGTCTAGAAACATCTCCTAGTCCTTAACCCCCTGGACACTATGGTCCTGTCTAGAAACATCTCCTAGTCCTTAACCCCCTGGACACTATGGTCCTGTCTAGAAACAACTCCTAGTCCTTAACCCCCTGGACACTATGGTCCTGTCTAGAAACATCTCCTAGTCCTTAACCCCCTGGACACTATGGTCCTGTCTAGAAACAACTCCTAGTCCTTAACCCCCTGGACACTATGGTCCTGTCTAGAAACAACTCCTAGTCCTTAACCCCCTGGACACTATGGTCCTGTCTAGAAACATCTCCTAGTCCTTAACCCCCTGGACACTATGGTCCTGTCTAGAAACATCTCCTAGTCCTTAACCCCCTGGACACTATGGTCCTGTCTACAAACAACTCATAGTCCTTAACCCCCTGGACACTATGGTCCTGTCTAGAAACATCTCCTAGTCCTTAACCCCCTGGACACTATGGTCCTGTCTAGAAACATCTCCTAGTCCTTAACCCCCTGGACACTATGGTCCTGTCTAGAAACATCTCCTAGTCCTTAACCCCCTGGACACTATGGTCCTGTATAGTAACATCTCCTAGTCCTTAACCCCCTGGACACTATGGTCCTGTCTAGTAACAACTCCTAGTCCTTAACCCCCTGGACACTATGGTCCTGTCTAGAAACATCTCCTAGTCCTTAACCCCCTGGACACTATGGTCCTGTCTAGAAACATCTCCTAGTCCTTAACCCCCTGGACACTATGGTCCTGTCTAGAAACAACTCCTAGTCCTTAACCCCCTGGACACTATGGTCCTGTCTAGAAACATCTCCTAGTCCTTAACCCCCTGGACACTATGGTCCTGTCTAGTAACATCTCCTAGTCCTTAACCCCCTGGACACTATGGTCCTGTCTAGAAACATCTCCTAGTCCTTAACCCCCTGGACACTATGGTCCTGTCTAGAAACAACTCCTAGTCCTTAACCCCCTGGACACTATGGTCCTGTCTAGAACCAACTCCTAGTCCTTAACCCCCTGGACACTATGGTCCTGTCTAGAAACATCTCCTAGTCCTTAACCCCCTGGACACTATGGTCCTGTCTAGAAACATCTCCTAGTCCTTAACCCCCTGGACACTATGGTCCTGTCTAGAAACAACTCCTAGTCCTTAACCCCCTGGACACTATGGTCCTGTCTAGAAACAACTCCTAGTCCTTAACCCCCTGGACACTATGGTCCTGTCTAGAAACATCTCCTAGTCCTTAACCCCCTGGACACTATGGTCCTGTCTAGTAACATCTCCTAGTCCTTAACCCCCTGGACACTATGGTCCTGTCTAGAAACAACTCCTAGTCCTTAACCCCCTGGACACTATGGTCCTGTCTAGAAACATCTCCTAGTCCTTAACCCCCTGGACACTATGGTCCTGTCTAGAAACAACTCCTAGTCCTTAACCCCCTGGACACTATGGTCCTGTCTAGAAACAACTCCTAGTCCTTAACCCCCTGGACACTATGGTCCTGTCTAGAAACATATCCTAGTCCTTAACCCCCTGGACACTATGGTCCTGTCTAGAAACAACTCCTAGTCCTTAACCCCCTGGACACTATGGTCCTGTCTAGAAACATCTCCTAGTCCTTAACCCCCTGGACACTATGGTCCTGTCTAGAAACAACTCCTAGTCCTTAACCCCCTGGACACTATGGTCCTGTCTAGAAACAACTCCTAGTCCTTAACCCCCTGGACACTATGGTCCTGTCTAGTAACAACTCCTAGTCCTTAACCCCCTGGACACTATGGTCCTGTCTAGAAACAACTCCTAGTCCTTAACCCCCTGGACACTATGGTCCTGTCTAGAAACAACTCCTAGTCCTTAACCCCCTGGACACTATGGTCCTGTCTAGTAACAACTCCTAGTCCTTAACCCCCTGGACACTATGGTCCTGTCTAGAAACAACTCCTAGTCCTTAACCCCCTGGACACTATGGTCCTGTCTAGTAACAACTCCTAGTCCTTAACCCCCTGGACACTATGGTCCTGTCTAGAAACATCTCCTAGTCCTTAACCCCCTGGACACTATGGTCCTGTCTAGTAACAACTCCTAGTCCTTAACCCTCTGGACACTATGGTCCTGTCTAGTAACAACTCCTAGTCCTTAACCCCCTGGACACTATGGTCCTGTCTAGAAACAACTCATAGTCCTTAACCCCCTGGACACTATGGTCCTGTCTAGAAACAACTCCTAGTCCTTAACCCCCTGGACACTATGGTCCTGTCTAGAAACAACTCCTAGTCCTTAACCCCCTGGACACTATGGTCCTGTCTAGTAACAACTCCTAGTCCTTAACCCCCTGGACACTATGGTCCTGTCTAGAAACAACTCCTAGTCCTTAACCCCCTGGACACTATGGTCCTGTCTAGAAACAACTCCTAGTCCTTAACCCCCTGGACACTATGGTCCTGTCTAGAAACAACTCCTAGTCCTTAACCCCCTGGACACTATGGTCCTGTCTAGAAACAACTCCTAGTCTTTAACCCCCTGGACACTATGGTCCTGTCTAGAAACAACTCCTAGTCCTTAACCCCCTACACACTATGGTCCTGTCTAGTAACAACTCCTAGTCCTTAACCCCCTGGACACTATGGTCCTGTCTAGAAACAACTCCTAGTCTTTTTTTTTGTTCACCTTTATTTAACCAGGTAAGCCAGTTGAGAACAAGTTCTCATTTACAACTGCGACCTGGCCAAGATAAAGCAAAGCAGTGCGATTAAAAACAACAACAACACAGAGTTACATATGGAATAAACAAAACGTACAGTCAATAACACAATAGAAAATCTATATACAGTGTGTGCAAATGTAGTAAGCTATGGAGGTAAGGCAATAAATAGGCCATAGTGCAAAATAATTACAATTATAATGTAGTATTAACACTGGAGTGATAAACAACAATATGGGGATGAGGTAGTTGGGTGGGCTAATTACAGATGGGCTGTGTACAGGTGCAGTGATCGGTAAGCTGCTCTGACAACTGATGCTTAAAGATAGTGAGGGAGCCGCCGAAAGTAGTGATTCTAGTCGGGCAGGCGGGTGCAAGCAGCGTTCGATTGAAGAGCATGCATTTAGTTTTACTAGCGTTTTAAGAGCAATTGGAGGCCACGGAAGGAGTGTTGTATGACATTGAAGCTCGTTTGGAGGTTTGTTAACACAGTGTCCAATGAAGGGCCAGATGTATACAAAATGGTGTCGTCTGCGTAGAGGCGGATCTGAGAGTCACCAGCAGCAAGAGCGACATCATTGATATACACAGAGAATAGAGTCGGACCGAGAATTGAACCCTGTGGCACCCCCATAGAGACTGCCAGAGGTCCAGACAACAGGCCCTCCGATTTGACACATTGAACTCTATCTGAGAAGTAGTTGGTGAACCAGGCGAGGCAGTCATTTGAGAAACCAAGGCTATTTAGTCTGCCAATAAGAATGCGGTGATTGACAGAGTCAAAAGCCTTGGCCAGGTCAATGAAGACGGCTGCACAGTACTGTCTTTTATCGATCGCGGTTATAATATCGTTTAGGACCTTGAGCGTGGCTGAGGTACACCCATGACCAGCTCGGAAACCAGATTGCATAGCGGAGAAGGTACGGTGGGATTCTAAATGGTCGGTGATCTGTTTGTTAACTTGGCTTTCAAATACTTTCGAAAGGCAGGGCAGGATGGATATAGGTCTGTAACAGTTTGGATCTAGAGTGTCACCCCCTTTGAAGAGGGGGATGACCGCGGCAGCTTTCCAATCTCTGGGGATCTCAGACGATACTAAAGAGAGGTTGAACAGGCTGGTGATATGGGTTGTGACAATTTCGGCGGCTAATTTTAGAAAAAAAGGGTCCCTAGACACTATGGTCCTGTCTAGCCCATGAAGAGTGCCTAGGGGAAGGAAGGAGCTAGGGGTTGGCAATTAAGTGCCTAGGGGAAAGGGGCTAAGGGGAAGGGGGGCAAAGTACGGCCAGCCGGGCACTTCAATCCAGCCCACAATACTTTTTTTTTATGTACCGTATTCAATATTATTATATTTGAGTTACAATTTTTGGCCTAAAATGACTAATTCCATGATGTACAAACAACCTCCAGTAGATGGCGCTGTAGCCTGGTCTGTATTTGGGCCTACAGTCAGATTCAGAATGCGCTCAGTCATCATAGCCACTTCATTGCTTGACGACTTTTGACGTGAAAAATGAGTGCTGCGAAAATGAGAAAAGTGGACTCTGAATATCACGTGTTTAAAGAAGAATGGACAGAAAAATACTTTTGTACTAATATTGGACATAAGGCGGTATGTGTGATATGCCAAGAAAGTGCTGGCATTTTGAAGGAATATAATCTCAATCGTAATTTTTTTTTTTCAAGCAAGCATGCTAACTAAGCATCTTTTTTCTATAGCACTGGATGAGAGTACCAATTCAACCGGTAAAAACATTGGCTAAACTAAAAAGATTACAAGACAAAGTAAAATAAGCATGGTCCTGTCTCATCAGGAAGCCCTGTGTAAAAGTGTGTTAAAGCTGGACAATGTTGTTGTCAAAGTGGTTGTAAAACTTGTCAACTTTATACGGGCAATGCGTCTTAACCATCGTCAGTTCATTCAGCTGCTCAATGTCACAGAGGCAGAGCACCAGGACTTGTTGTAACATTCAAATGTGCGCTGGCTAAGCCTGGGAAAAGTATTTCGCCCTGTGTCGGAACTGAGAGGGGAGATCGGTTGGTAAAGCTGACGACTTCTCAGAGTTGAAAGACAGACTGGCTGGGCGACTTTGCTTTCGGTGTGGACATATTGGGGCATCTGAACGATCTAAATGTGAAACTGCAGGGAAATTGGGTTTTTTGTGCTTGAACTATATTCCAACGTCAAAGCATTCAAGGCCAAACTTATGTTGTTCTCCAGACAAATGAGCAGCCGGTCTCTCGCTCATTTTCCGACACTGGCCGCAATGAACGCGCCCACATCGCAGTGCCGCACTGAGACATACAGTAGCACTTTGATCGACCTGCATGCCGCTTCTCAGACTTCACCAAGATGGAGCTCATCGATATCCAACGTGACAGTGCTTTGAAGGAGAAGTAAAAAACAGCAACAATAGACCAGTTCTATGGCTCACTGAATGAAACAAAAGTTTCCAAACATGAAAAAAGCACGACCAAAGGATGCTTGTTTTATTCAGGTCCACATATGTGTGTGAACAAACGTTCTCAGTCATGAATTACAACAAATCCCGTCACAGGTCAAATTTAACAAATGACCACTTGTCAGCTGTTCTGAGAATCTCTACATCAAAGATGACACCAGACTTTGATACCCCTTGCCAAGAGAGGTGACCAGATCCATTGTTCACATTAAGACTCAAATAACCGTGACTGGGGTAGGCAAGGATTATTCTTTTTCATGGTGATGATTATGCAGTGAGAATTATCCAGCAATGCACTTGGAATCAGGTAATAACTATTCAGTCAGATTTGTGCTGAGGTGATTGGATAACAGTGGATATGGCTCACAATGGAGATGAGAATTGTTCCTTAATATGCTTTCAAAAACAGACCATTCCAAATGAAACAGATGCTCTCACCATATGTTTCACCATATGTTTCACTCAAATTTTAGAATTGTTTATTTTTTTACACATCTGCTGTTACATTTTGAATGTCTCCAGTCATATAATATATATATATTATTAAGTTTGCATATTGTGACTGTAAGTTTGATTGTACTTTACAAGGGTAGAGATGCAGGATCTCTCTGTGTGTGTTTGTCTGTGATGTTATAAATGATGTAAATCTTGTGAAAAATTTGTTCACCAAAAACAAGGGTAGAGATGGTACAGTGGCTTGCGAAAGTATTCACCCCCCCTTGGCATTTTTCCTATTTTGTTGCCTTACAACCTGGAATTAAAATTGATGTTTTTTTTTTTTGGGGGGGGGGGGGGGGGGGGGGTTGTATCATTTGATTTACACAACATGCCTACCACTTTGAAGATGCAAAAAAAAAAAAATCTTGTGAAACAAACAAGAAATAAGACAAAAAAACAGAAAACTTGAGCGTGCATAACTATTCACCCCCCCAAAGTCAATACTTTGTAGAGCCACCTTTTGCAGCAATTACAGCTGCAAGTCTCTTGGGGTATGTCTCTATAAGCTTGGCACATCTAGCCACTGGGAGTTTTGCCCATTCTTCAAGGCAAAACTGCTCCAGCTCCTTCAAGTTGGATGGGGTTCTCGGGGTGATGAGAGGTGTTGGGTTTTCACCAGACATAGCGTTTTCCTTGATGGGCAAAAAGCTCAATTTTAGTCTCATCTGACCAGAGTACCTTTTTCCATATGTTTGGGGAGTCTCCCACATGGCTTTTGGCGAACACCAAAAGTGTTTGCTTATTTTTTTCTTTAAGCAATGGCTTTTTTCTGGCCACTCTTCCGTAAAGCCCAGCTCTGTGGAGTGTATGGCTTAAAGTGGTCCTATGGACAGATACTCCAATCTCCGCTGTGGAGCTTTGCAGCTCCTTCAGGGTTATCTTTGGTCTCTTTGTTACCTCTCTGATTAATGCCCTCCTTGCCTGGTCCGTGAGTTTTGGTGGGCGGCCCTCTCTTGGCAGGTTTGTTGGGGTGCCATATTCTTTTCATTTTTTAATAATGGATTTAATGGTACTCCGTGGTATGTTCAAAGTTTCTGATATTTTTTTTATAACCCAACCCTGATCTGTACTTCTCCACAACTTTGTCCCTGACCTGTTTGGAGAGCTCCTTGGTCTTCATGGTGCCGCTTGCTTGGTGGTGCCCCTTGCTTAGTGGTGTTGCAGACTCTGGGGCCTTTCAGAACAGGTGTATATATACTGAGATCATGTGACAGATCATGTGACACTTAGATTGCAGACAGGTGGACTTTATTTAACTAATTATGTGACTTCTGAAGGTGATTGGTTGCACCAGATCTTATTTAGGGGCTTCATAGCAAAGGGGGTGAATACATATGCACACACCACTTTTCCGTTATTTATTTTTTAGAATGTTTTGAAACAAGTTATTTTTTTTTCATTTCACTTCACCAATTTGGACTATTTTGTGTATGTCCATTACATGAAATCCAAATAAAAATCAATTTAAATTACAGGTTGTAATGCAACAAAATAGGAAAAACGCCAAGGGGGATGAATACTTTTGCAAGGCACTGTACAAGGGTAGAATTGTTCTGCAAGCATATGTACACCTACAATACACTGGTAGTTCCGTGTCAATGTGAAAATGAATAAAGGCTTCACATGTTTTGTCATGCAAAAAGTATGTGGCCCTTCACTTGGTTTCAAAAACTCAATGTGACCCTTGAGCCAAAAGGTTTGCCCACCCCTGTGCTAATGGGGTTGTTTCATGAAGTGCCTAGGGGAAAGGGATAAGGGGTTCTTTAATTAAGTGCCTAGGGGAAAGCGGCTACAGGATGTTTCTGGACAGGGCCAACATGTGGAGGACGTGAGTCATCAAAACTTTGAACAGCTCGCAATGGATTCTGATAGCACTGTTTATCTACAAGCTGATACCCCCACCTAGTGGATAAAGAGTACAACTGAAACTAAATGTGTTATTTCAGGGAAATGGGATCAGTGGCTGCTGAAGAGGTAAAGGAGGTAAGCTGTTGACCTCCTTAAGAGGTTCCCTTATTTATTCTAGAGTATATTATTAATCTATTCAGAACGACTGTCTTTTTGACATAATATGTCCAAAAATATGCTTATTGATCAATATCTATTTTCCAGACTAAAGTGGCAGAGAAAGATGTGGATCCCCATTTCAAGAATATGTTCAAGCAGATCGCCGGCAATGTAAGTTCCCTCTAGTTTTACATACAATAATGAACTGAGCTGACTGCTTTGCGTGAAAAAAATACATTATATTTCATGAACAGGACGAAGAGGTGTCTGTCTTCAAACTTGTTGAAATTCTGAACAAAGTTTTTGCTAAAAGTAAGACATTTTCAATAACTTTATAAATAAAATACATTAAATTATAAAAGTATGTAATGAGCCTTAGAACGAATGTTATTTAACTCATTATATTATTCTAATGTTTTCCAGGGGCCGATATCAAGAGCGATGGTTTTAGTCTTGAAACTGGACGTCACATTATCAGTCTTCTAGATGTATCCTTTACAGTTAGAAAAAACGATTTCCTTTTATATCTATGTCTTAATTTGACACCTAAACAAAATGTCTGTACTGTTCCATGCAGTTTTCTAGCCTGGTCCCAGATCTGTTTGTGCAGTTTTGCCAACTCCTGTGGTCATTGGGTTCAATAAGACTTAGCCTGGTCCCAGATCTATTCGTGCTGTCTTGCCAACTACAGTATAAAACCATAGGAGTTGCCAGAAAAGCACAGCCAGATATGGGATGAGGCTAGACATTTCCCACAAAAAGGAGTAAGGTGTTCATATGATGCCTGATGTACAGTCCAGGACGATGACTCCAACACACCTCCAGGCTGTGGAAGGGCTATTTGACCAAGAAGGAAGAGTGATGGAGTGCTGCATCAGATGACCTGGCCTCCACAATCCCCCCGAACCTCAACCCAATTGAGATGGTTTGGGATGAGTTGGACCGCAGAGGGAAGGAAAAGCAGCCAACAAGTGCTCAGCATATGTGGGAACTCCTTCAAGACTGTTGGAAAAGCATTCCAGGTGAAGCTGGTTGAGAGAATGCCAAAGAGTGTGCAAAGCTGTCATCAAGGCAAAGGGTGGCTACTTTGAAGAATCTAAAAATATAACATGTATTTTGATTTGTTTAATACATTTTTGGTTACTACATGATTCCATATGTCAGGGTTCTTCAATTCCGGGTCCTGGAGGGCCGAAACACGTCTGTTTTTTATTTCTACCTGGTAGTTAATTGCACTCACCTGGTGTCCCAGGTCTGAATTAGCCCCTGATTAGAAGGAGAGGATGAAAAACAGGTGTTTCGGCCCTCCAGGACCGGAATTGAAGAACCCTGCCATATGTGTTATTTCATAGTTTTGATGTCTTCACTATTATTCTACAATGTAGTAAATAGGACAAATAAAGAAAAACCGCGGAATGAGTAGGCGTGTCCAAACTTTGGATTGGTAGCGTATATTTGAACCAATCAATCTATACGAGTCATGCCACACATAGTGAACACCCATTTACATCTTTTTGAGGCCTTCCTGTACCTTAAGGTCACAAACCTTGACAACTGTCTCCAGAAAAATGGAAATTCCAAGTTGGGACTGGTTGAATTCCACGTGCTTTGGATGAAGATCCAGAAATACATGGTATGAGTGCTGAATTATTTTTTTTTTGTACAGTTCTCACTGGATTCTGTATGGTTGAGTTTAATAAATCATTCTGTGATGAGTCTACTATTTACCCCCTGGGTGAATCTTAACTTCCATTGACATCTATCAATCTACCGTTGACATCAGTGCATGACTAAGTGAAAATGTTGACTTAAATAGAAGTTCAGATTGAGGATTTCCTCCCAGTATGTATTAACTGTATAACGTGTGTTTCTCTGTTCTGGTATCTTCAGGAAATTTTCAAGCGTTACGACTCCGACCGCTCCGGAACTATGAGTTCACATGAGATGAGAGATGCTCTGACAGAAGCAGGTAACACACATTAACACTAAGCTTGAATCGCCACTCAACATTTGTCACGGGAATGTTTAAAAACGAATGTTATGGCTGTATCAGTCCAGTTATTATACACCAGGTACCCCCTGTGGATAGACCAGGTACCCCCTGTGGATAGACCGGGTACCCCCTGTAGATAGACCAGGTACCCCCTGTGGATAGGCCAGGTACCCCCTGTGGATAGACCAGGTACCCCCTGTAGATAGACCAGGTACCCCCTGTAGATAGACCAGGTACCCCCTGTGGATAGACCAGGTACCCCCTGTGCATAGACCAGGTAACCCCAGGGTACTAGAACCACTGCTCTAAATGGTTACTGTGATATAATAATATATATATATAATATGCCATTTAGCAGACGCTTTTATCCAAAGCGACTTACAGTCATGCGTGCATACATTTTGTGTATGGGTGGTCCTGGGGATCGAACCCACTACCTTGGCGTTACAAGCGCCGTGCTCTACCAGCTGAGCTACAGAGGACCACCCATACTGGGTTACTGATGGCTGGGTTACTGTATGTGCAATGTTGTGTCCATATTAATATAATATATTCATTGTATTTTTATGATCGTGTCCTTTTCCTCAGGCTTCCAGATCAACAATGCAGTGCTGCAGGTCATAGTGAATCGTTATGCCAGTGCCCACTATGCCATCGACTTTCACTGTTTCGTGGACTGTCTCATCAGACTTGAAATGCTCTTCAGTAAGTCATTTCAACAATAACACAACTCTTCCATAAACAATGTGATGCTAGTAAATAAGGTAAAGGTAAGATTATGCATTTATTATCCCTGTTGGGACATTTCGGTTGCGGCTCTGTGCATACCGGAAAAACAAACGTAATCAAGCAAAGACAAGTCCATAAAGTATACAGACAATAATAGGTTTGTGTATTGTTCCTGGAACATCCTCCAAAACTTAGATTATATAGATCTTTGAACAGTGTGTCTCAGCAGCACAATAACTTGGATTTGACTGATTAGTTGATTGGTTTGGTAATTGATCAATGAATTGAACATTGCATTGGATTAATAACCTCTTTCTGTTTTTGAATCCCAACCAGAGATGTTTAAAACTCTGGATACCAAAGCCTCTGGGAAGATTGAGCTGGATGTGTCTCAGGTATGTACTTCTGTTTGTCTAATTTTATTATATAGTACAGTGGTTTAACTAAATATGTTGGTCGCCATTGTTCATAGAATGAGGAATTGGCGTGCTAAACTCAAACGTTTACGGTAACAAAAAGTATTTGGGTGCCGGGTTCAAAAGGCATGTACTGGAAAAAAGGAACAACTTGCGCTCACTGCCATATTCTTAAAGTTTGAATGTCTTCTGAAGCACCAACAGTCAGAGAACAGACGTGTTTCGGCAACAGCCTTCATCAGCGTCTTCACTACTGTTCACCCAGCTCGTGGAGTATTGTGTACAGACTGTCTGTTTGTCTGTTTGTCTGTCTGACTGGATTTGTTTTCTCTTTCCAGTGGCTGTGCCTCGCAATCAACTAGACTCCCCAACGCCAGTAGTGAATCAACTAGACTCCCCAAAGCCAGTAGTGAATCAACTAGACTCCCCAACGCCAGTAGTGAATCAACTAGACTCCCCAACGCCAGTAGTGAATCAACTAGACTCCCCAACGCCAGTAGTGAATCAACTAGACTCCCCAAAGCCAGTAGTGAATCAACTAGACTCCCCAAAGCCAGTAGCGACAGTGACAGCTGAATGCTATTATGGTTTTGAGATGAAATTGTTTTTATAATTATATTTTCTTCTGTGATGTTGTCACATTTTTAGGAACATTTCAGGTTATAGTTTTGCACTATTTGTAAACTAACTTTGAATATGGTTACTCATAAATACTTACTCATTCTGTATGGGACTTTAACTATAAAAATATATATATATATCGCTGTACGGGTGTTTGTTTCTATTAAATGAAATAAAAATATTAAAAGACTGATTATTTATCTGTTCACACACTAGAAAAATGATAATCCACACAAAATAAATTGCAACATTGCTGGTAACAATTTATTTTAAATGGTAATGAACCATTTATAAGGCATTTACAAACAGCTCACCGTTTATAAATTATTACTATCACATTTGTAAATGTTACTAAAGGTAGTTAGGCACAAATGTTTATAAAATGTTCCGTATATTTCCTTAAACATCCTGCGCTCATTATTTTACCGATGATATAGTCATTGTAGGACCTTAAGGAGCAACCTGAACCTTCCTTGTACCTACGCTAGCTAGGGTGGAAACATCTCTTCCCTCAACCACTCATTTTAGTCATTTAGCAGATGCTCTTATCCAGAGCGACTTACAGGAGCAATTAGGGTTAAGTGCCTTGCTCAAGGGCACATCGACAGACTTTTCACCCAGTCGGCTCTGGGATTAGAACCAGCGACCTTTCGGTTACTGGCACAACGCTCTTAACCACTAAGATACCTGCCGCCTCCTATCGATTCAGGGTTGGGGAGTAACTGATTACATTTAATCTGATTGCAAAAAAAACTGTAATCGGTTACGTTACCAGCTAAAATATTGTAACCTGATTAGTTAAAGTAAAGCCTGCAGGTATTTCTATTTGTATTTATTAGGGATCCCCATTAGCTGCTACGAAGCAGCTACTCTTCCTGGGGTCCAAACACATGAAGGCACTTACATTACACATAAAACAAAAGATAAAACAGTACAATCATATAACATTATTACACCACTACATACTGTATCTACAAATAACATGAATAACTACTACAGTTCTACAGTTCTATTTTCATTCAACGATGGCCCAGCAGTCTCCGGATGTTTGCCAGAATACCCCGTCCAAAGAACCCGTCCAAAGATCCCGTCCAAAGACCCCGTCCAAAGATCCCGTCCAAAGATCCCGTCCAAAGACCCCGTCCAAAGATCCCGTCCAAAGATCCCGTCCAAAGACCCCGTCCAAAGATCCCGTCCAAAGTGCTAGACACCAGTCTGTGTTGAAAGCATCTTCACTCACTTCTTCCATGTTTGCTGTTTTGCGTGTGTCCACATGGACGATTAATACTGGTGAAATTAGCGGAGGACGGGGGGGGGTTTGGCCCAAGTATGGGCAGAGATCTATATATAATGATGAGATGCTCACGTCTCTGCCCGAAAAAAATGGGAGACGTCCCAAAAGCCGGGAAGGCAGGCTACAAGCTAAGGTCTGCATATTAAACCCATGGAAATGCATTGAATAAAGCTGTGTTCCCGTGTGGGCAGATTTTGTCGAGAGTGAAACCTCTGGCTTCGCCTCTCCCTCTCTGGTATGGGTAACGGCATAACCCGGAGCGTCTGAAACTGGGTGTTACCAAACAAGTGGGAGGATCGTCACCAGCGGTGCTGTTCAGCAGGAGAATTTAACGAGGTGCGCTTTGCGTGTGCAGCTCCCCGGGACTTGCTCAGCAGAAGAAATATCAGCCCTGCGCAGAGAAGCACAAGATTGAACTTCATTCAACTTTCTAGTTGTTCCCCTTTAGTTAAACACTATCAACGTTTCCCTTTACTGTGGGAACTGTGATCGAATCAACGCATTAGCCACTTTCAACGCAACAAACCGAAACAAAACGAACTATGCAATAGCTTTTCTTGTAGGCAGAGCGCATCGGAGTAGGATTGTATTGCATTGACAGGCATGACTCAGGCCCGTACTTTACACGGACCGGTGCGCCATAACCAATCAGAGCTGCAGTAGGCCTATATTCAAATATACCATTATCATATATGGGTCTGTGCCATTCACTTTGAACTGGGCTGTGTTCACAACATGAGCGGTTATGAGTAGATGCCCTTGTTTTGAGATCAAAGCAAGAGCTGCATGTAGCTAGGTGTGTACATTTGTTCATATTCTTTGCTAGTTAGTGAGTTATTAGCCCAGTTATAGCTATTTTCTAGTCAGCAATGGGGGAGTGGTTGCTTCCTACAAGAGCACAAAACGTGTACATTTCTAGCCATGTTTGAAAAGCGAGTCAGGTAAAGAGCTTTTTTTCTGTCTTAAAGGGGCAGTGTTGTATTTTGAGACAGGCTTGAATAAGCTAAGTAGCCAATAGGCAGAGGGTAGCATCATTTGTCTGATTCTCTGTGATAATGGTATGGGAATAATAATGAATGCTATTTTTTAAAGTGGTTTCTTGCATCAAACAACACAGCACAATGTTCAGTCACCTCCTTGTCTGAAGGACAAGTGGATAAACAGGTTAATGTCGGAAGTTGCACAGAATTTTCACAATGTTCACGTTTACCCTGGTTCAGACCCAGGGCTTTCTGCAGCTCTCTAACTAATCCCTGTCATTCCCCTTCAGACCCAGGGCTTTCTGCAGCTCTCTAACTAATCCCTGTCCTTCCCCTCCAGACCCAGGGCTTTCTGCAGCTCTCTAACTAATCCCTGTCATTCCCCTCCAGACCCAGGGCTTTCTGCAGCTCTCTAACTAATCCCTGTCATTCCCCTCCAGACCCAGGGCTTTCTGCAGCTCTCTAACTAATCCCTGTCATTCCCCTCCAGACCCAGGGCTTTCTGTAGCTCTCTAACTAATCCCTGTCCTTCCCCTCCAGACCCAGGGCTTTCTGCAGCTCTCTAACTAATCCCTGTCATTCCCCTCCAGACCCAGGGCTTTCTGCAGCTCTCTAACTAATCCCTGTCATTCCCCTCCAGACCCAGGGCTTTCTGCAGCTCTCTAACTAATCCTGTCATTCCCCTCCAGAACCAGGGCTTTCTGCAGCTCTCTAACTAATCCCTGTCATTCCCCTCCAGACCCAGGGCTTTCTGCAGCTCTCTAACTAATCCCTGTCCTTCCCCTCCAGGGAACTGTTGGCAGTAGCTACAGCCTCTCTGACCCTCAACAAACAGGTCCCGGGGGGTTTCCCACAGAGAGAGCAGGTCCCGGGGGGTTTCCCACAGAGAGAGCAGGTCCCGGGGGTTTTCCCACGAGAGAGTCAGGTCCGGGGGGTTTCCACGGAGAGAGCAGGTCCCGGGGGGTTTCCCACAGAGAGAGCAGGTCCCGGGGGGTTTCCCACAGAGAGAGCAGGTCCCGGGGGGTTTCCCACAGAGAGAGCAGGTCCCGGGGGGTTTCCCACAGAGAGAGCTTTGATGAGGACTACCCTGGCACTTGAAGGGTTTTTAGACTGACTGACTGACTGACTGGCAGACAGGCTTGCAGCCCTACAGGCATCCCTGCAGGCCGGCAGGAGCAGGGCTTCAGGCAGGCTCAAATATTGACATGCCCCTACCATTAGGTCCAGTATTCTCAGAAGTCCTTTCTGAAAATGGTCATTCTGTTCAAAGGGCATTGTGGAATCCATGGGACAGTCTACTAATCTGTTTGCTCTGTCAGTCCAGTTTCTGCAAGTTTGTGAGTGCTGGTGATGTCGTTGAGAACAGGCTTCTGGTTCAACAAGCCTGTGAAGTTTTCAGAAGGCTTTGGGGGGTGTCAATACACCCAGTCACTCAAAGACCAGGTGTCTTCCTACTCATGCCGTGAGGAACAATGGAATTTCCCCATGAGGCCAGTTGTGACTTTAACAACGTTTCCATTTAAATGGGATCCACCAACACATCACTGATTTCCCCTCATATTTTCCAACGTGGTTGTGGCTCAATCACGTTATGGGTATGCTTGTCGTCGCAATGACTAGGGAGTAATTTTTTTATTATAAAAAGAAACGGAATAGATCTAAGCACAGGCAAAATCCTAGAGGAAAACCTTAGATTGATCAAGGGTGTGTCAATAGACCTTTAAGGACCCCCCCCTTCAGACCCAGGGCTTTCTGCAGCTCTCTAACTAATCCCTGTCATTCCCCTCCGACCCGGGGCTTTCTGCAGCTCTCTACTAATCCCTGGTCCATTCCCCTCCAGACCCAGGGCTTTCTGCAGCTCTCTAACTAATCCCTGTCATGTCCCCTCCAGACCCAGGGCTTTCTGCAGCTCTCTAACTAATCCCTGTCATTCCCCTCCAGGGAACTGTTGGCAGTAGCTACAGCCCCTGACCCTCCAACAAACCAGGTCACCGGGGGGGTTTCCCACAGATAGAGCAGGTCCCGGGGGGTTTTCCCACAGAGCGATAAGCAGGTCCCAGGGGGTTTCCCACAAGAGGAAGCAGGTCCCCGGGGGGTTTTCGCCACAGAGAGCAGGTTTCCCCGGGGTTTCCCAACAGACGTAGCAGTCCCTGGGGGTTTCCCACCCAGATATCGCAGTCCCCGGGGCGTTTTCCCACAAGAGAGCAGGTCCCGGGGTTTCCCACAGAAAGCAGTCCCCGGGGGTTTTTCCCACGAGCAGACACTGTTCCACCGGGGGTTTTCCCACCAGGAGAGCATGTTCCCGGGTGGGTGTTCCTCCCACAGAGAGAGCAGGTCCCGGGGGGTTTCCCACAGAGAGAGCTTTGATGAGGACTACGCTGGCACTTTGAAGTGGGTTTTTATGACTGGCTGGCTGCTGGCTGGCTGGCTGGCTGGCTGGCTGGCTGGCTGGCTGGCTGGCTGGCAGGCAGGCAGGCAGGCAGGCAGGCAGGCAGGCAGGCAGGCAGGCAGGCAGGCAGGCAGCAGGCAGGCAGGCAGGCAGGCAGGCAGGCAGGCAGGCAGGCAGGCAGGCAGGCAGGCAGGCAGGCAGGCAGGCAGGCAGGCAGGCAGGCAGGCAGGCAGGCAGGCAGGCAGGCAGGCAGGCAAATATTGACATGCCCATACATTAGGTCGAGTATAGT